TGCCAAGAATTGATTGATCCTCAGCGAGGCTGGAGTCCTCACAGTCCTTGAATTTCCAGCAATGACGATTCCCGGAATGGTAATTCAATATTGTCTTCTTTATATTTAGACTTGAAGTTTCGCGATTTTTACAGGTCATCAGGACTTCAAAAGTTTCTTACTACCCGTTTTATCGCCTGTGAATGAGATAGGGGCTTTTGATACGTGCTAAATTAAATAATTTTACCTCGTAATAAGGCTAGGCAATCAATTAGTTAACATTCCGATTAATTAACTATTGTTTTACTCTGAATCAAGTGAGTTTAACTGGCATATTGGTTGGATTTAGAGTTACGAAAAGTCTTATAAACAAAAAAGTAAAAAGAATATTCATTTAATTCTTTTTGTGTGTTTATAACACAATTGTCTCTCATGGCTACTTAAGTGTTTTATATGATTATTATCTAGAGTGGTTTTGAAGTTTAAATAATAACGTACGAATATTTTATTTTAAATGTTTTCCATGCTTTTCTTGTGTATGAGCACAACGGCAAGTTGTTATGTACTAAGCCTTATAAGACGTAGTAAAAACTTGTCAAAGAAAAAATCGGTTGTTCTAGGCCTTTTCTGGGCACAATATCTTGCCTCGAGATCAGCGCGACCTATAAATTGATTAACTAGTCAATATAAAAGAGAACGTAAATCGAAATTATTTTAATTGACGCCAAGCCCTACTCCACTATAGTGACAGTAAGTGGTCATTTAGTTAATATATATATATATATATATATATATATATATATATATATATATATATATATATATATATATATATATGTGTGTGTGTGTGTGTGTGTAAACAATCCGTGTGTACAAATTCATAGCGTATAAATGTACTTTTGTAAACCAGCAACACTGTCCATTCGTTTATTTTTCAGTTACTACAAGACGTTAAACTGCCGTTCGGCAAAGACATCCGGAGGACATGGGAGCCTAGATTGAGGCATTTACAGCTTCTACACAGGTGTTCCTCAAAGGAAAAGAACGTCACTCTGAACCTCGAAGAGCTGCTTGAAGGTATACTTTAGTTGGTGTTTTTGTAATCTATCACAAGTTTCAGACTGCGACGACGCAGAGGTTTACCTTCGTCCACCATAAATATGCTGGGTTAACTTACTACCTCATTACGAACTGATGACCGCTTATCGGGGCCATTCGTTTAAGACAGGGTTAACTTATACTCAGAAACAACTTTCTGTGGCGTTTCTGAAGTGAAGAGTGCGTGTGCATAGCCTTGATTGGCGCTTAAGATGCGCGGGCGTTTTTAACTTCGACTACATTGCCAAAAAAGTTGCCCAAGTCACCCCCGAGTATAGTGCATTGTCACAGATGGTAATGCAAACTTGTCAGGGTTATATCTTCAATATACGAGCTAGTAATATAAAACATATCCTTGCTTTATTTTCTAAAAATAAAATAGAGGAAATATACGCGACTAAAGTCAATGACAGGTTAAGAAAAATCTAAAAGAAGAAAGCCGATGGACGCTTGAAATGGAGAGAAGGTTTCTCCTCTCCGCTACAAGCTTCTGTCCGCTTCCTCCTCTCCAGCTCGTAGATTTTTTCTTAACCTGTTACTGACTGTAGGGCAAGAAGGATTAAATATGGGTAGAACCAACGTTTCTTGAAACATGCTTAAAATTCCTGTGCATCTACTTCCCGCAGAACACTCGAGAAGCCAATCACACCAATCCACGAAGAGAGCTCGGCGAATAAAAAGGCCAAAGCATGTTTAGACATATGAATGAGCGAGAGATGTCACTGAGCATGACGGTTCACGTACTGACTTCATGCTCAGTGTCACGTTACAGACTTCATTTTTAAGTCAAACATATTTTCAGCTTCTCCATTGGCCGAGTTTTCTTCGTAGATTGCATTGATCGGCCCCTCGAGTATTCTCAAGGGAAGTGGACGCACGGGCATTTTTAAAAGCAGAGAAAATGCGGTGGCACGTTGGGCATTGTTTTACGTGTGTACTGCACATATATTGTAATTCATTGACTTCCGATTTTCTTCCTTTACTACTTCTTGGATGGAAAGGGAACGCTTGATGCTGCGTACCATTTTTCGCTTTTACACATTGTTGTAGCGAAGGGGGCTTCGAAGGGGACGCTTCGTCTTCCGCTGGTCGCGCTCTCTAGATCGCACTGATTGACCCACTAAATGTTTTGAAGGAAATCATATCTGCGGGTATGTTTTAGAGCGTAAGGCTAAATGAGAAATAAAATGCTTAGTGAAACCTATACAATTATAATTGTTCTGAAAGCGCGGCGAATGAGCAACTTGCAGCATAATAATACAGAGGAAAACACATGTGTTCATATTCTTGTTTTCTTGTTGTAGGAAGTCCGGACACTGATGCCACTCATCCATCTCCAGGAAAATGAATTTGACATCTTTTTGGACGGTGTCCTGACAGTGAGCGACATCAGAACGACAGTAGAAGCTGTGTGCACATTGCTGGCAGTGATACCCGTCTCGTCTTGAAACTGTTTCGAATTTTGTTAGCTTTTTTACTGCGAACAGAAGAATCAATTTTTGCTACTCCAATAAAGTATATGATTGGACATGATGTTTACTGTTCTGCCTGTCACCTAGTTAATTACGTACAGGAATGAAGTGTGTTGACTCTGGCCAGACTGATGTTTGTCAACCTGTCGAAAAGGCCCAGTGCTAGCGATTAATGAACAATCTAAATACACTTTGGTTGGTAGAAAAAAATGTACCTTGTGGAGCAAGAAATACAAAATACGATTTACTAAAAACTAACTAGGAATGTAAAAAAAACTCATTTGTCATAAGAGAGGGTTAGAAGTACAAAATATGGTTTACTAAAATAACGCCAACATAATCTAAAGAACTCGGCATTTATTGAAAGAACCAAGGAGGGTTCCGAATAAAACATAAAATAGGGTTCATAAAGAAAAACCAAAGAAGGTTCCGTAAAGAACCTCGAAATAAGGTTCATTAAGAGCACGAAGAAGGGTTCTCGAAAGAACCCAAATGGGGTTCATTAAGAAGAACCAATAAAGGATACGAAAAGAACCCTGAAATAGGGTATATTAAGAGCACCAAAAAGGGTTCTGGAACGAACCTGAAATAGGGTTCATTAAGAGCACCAGAAAGGGTTCTGGAAAGAACCCGAAATGGGGTTCATCAAGAGCACCAAAAAGGGTTCGGGAAAGAACCCGAAATAGGGTTGATTAGGAAGAACCAAAAAAGGATCCTAGAAGAACCCCTAAATAGGGTTCGTTAAATAGAACCCAGAAGCGTTCTGAAAAGAACCAAAAATAGGGTTCATTAAGAAGAACCAATAAACGATCCGAAAAGAACCCCGAAATAGGGTTCATTAGAAAGAACCCTTTTTGTGGGTTCTTTTCTGCACCTTTAAGGGTGCCGCCCATTGGACAAGCGAAAGAACCCTAAAAGGTCCTAGTTGGCACGCTTTTTTTTACGCTACCTCTTCGGAAACTCGCATTGCATCCGCTGCCTATGTTGACGGCGGCAGCGCCTATCTCCAAGCAAGCAAGCAAAACTTCATTTTGTGTAAGGGCCTACGTCCTGGTCTGGACGGCCCGTCCGGCCCATGTCTCGCGGATGGATTCCGTAAGGTTACCGTGTAGCCTTGTTCGTGGAGCAAGGCTTTACGAACCAGCCAATCCGGCGTGCGTGAGCACCGTTGCTAGGGTTTGTATCGCCTGCGCGTCAAAAATATGCCCGCGCGGGTCGGGGGGCAGTGCCCTTGGTATTCCTTGGGCGCCGCCGGCCTGTGTCTGCTCTGCCCAGTGGCGGCCGTTTCAGGGGGGGGGGGGGGGGCAAAACGCATGCCTTGCCCCCCCCACTCTGAGAACTGGGGGGGCAAGTGCCCCCTTGCCCCCCCGGTTGGTACGCCCATGTCAGTATGCCTCCCTGACCCTATATGACACCAAGAACGCGACTCTTTTCTCATCCGATTTGGTGCTTTTGCCGAAAGTTACGTGGCCGGGAGGCACTCACTTGATCGAATGACATTTTAGCGAACGCCCACGTTTCATCGAACGACACTTTAGCGAATAGTCGGACGCCGCGAAGCGGCGTTTTCGGGTGGGCCAAGTGAGTTCATATTTTTGTAATGAGTTGCCGCAGACTGTCGCCGCGAAGCGGCGTAAAGCGCAGCGCGACGGATGGGTTAACGCGCGCCCCCGTTATTCGCTAAAACGACCATTCGCTCAAATGTCGCTGTTCGCTAAAATGTCATTCGCTCTTGTGATATGGACCCGACTTTAGTGTTGCAAAGGCGGGACTCGTAGTTAATCCACAGTGGCCGTACCTGGGAGCTAGCCCAGATGGGATAGTCAGCTGTGCATGTTGCCCCCAGGCTACGCTCGAGATCAAGTGCTCGTACAAATACAGACACGTGCATCTAAGCACAGTGAAGGACAAAGATTTCTATCTTGACGCAGACATGACACTCAAGGAAAACCATGCACATTATTTCCAGTTACAAGGCCAGATGGTTCTCACTGGGCTTCAGATGGGGTATTTTGTAGTGTGGACGGAGTGCTCTCTGGTGACCATAAGGATACAAAGAGATGAGCAGCTGTAGGAGGAGCTTCTGACAAAGCTGGAATCCTTTTTCTTAAGACACATTCTGCCCGAGCTGGTCACGCGGCGGCTAGATCCAGATGGCGGACGTTCTGCTGTGACAGTGTACTGCACTTGTAAGAAGCCAGAGAAGGGTCGCATGATAGCATGTGACTTTTCCTACTACAGAAGAATTGTCACTGCACAATTTTTTCAATCTGGAGGCCCCTTTTAGCCACCATTAACTAGCAACTCTCACTTCTCACTGCATGTTCCAATTCTTTTGCAATATTCTCTTCTGTCAGTTACGCATTCTGCTCTTTGTGTGTTCATGTGAATAAAAAAGTTGTTTATTGCTGTTTGCATTTGTAAGATCCTGCATGCTTTTTGAAGAACAGATCAAGAACCACCATCCTTCTTCTTGCCAAAAATTGAACTGCGCATATTTACAAGGGCAGCACATATAACGACGATTTTGTCAATCGTTGCCATGCCCCTGTCCCCCTTTTTTTTCAGAAGTGAGACAGGAATGATGCGCTGCAGGAGGTGGAACTTCTTCAGCTGACCAATGGTTCTCTCGACTTGTATCCGAACACTGGAGATCCTTCGGGACACTTCAACTTCTTGGCGTGTTAGCTGAGTCTTCCCTCGTGTATAGGCCGGGACTATCAGGGAAGCCCCACGAATAGCTAGAAGTTCTTCAATGGGAAATCCCCTATCGGCCATCACGAGGTCCCCGCTCTGAATGAAGTCCAAAAACCCACAGTGTCTTGTGAGCTCCAGATCGCTCACCTTCCCACCCCAGCATTTAGAAATGAAACAGATCCCTCCACTTGGACAAATGGCGATTAAGAACTTTACCGTGTTATGATGTTTGTAAGACGAGAACGTTTGCGTCCTTGCCTTAAAGGTGCATGGTCGCTCTATGAAGATTTCCGAGCAATCAATGATGCACCGAAGGTTCCGTAGCATTGGTACCGTGCACAGCTTTGGGAGCCGCTGTCTAACTGTGTCCGCTTTAGGCCAGAGAATGCATGGAGACAGCTCAACACTGAGGATGTTAATCCAGGCATGGAAGACTTTTGATACAGTTCCAGGAGAAATTCCAAACCTGGACGATAGGTCCTTGTTGAGGAGGCCGAGGCGGAGCTTCATCAACACCATCAGGAGTTGGCTCCAGTGCGGTATCTTGGCACTGAAGTTTGGAGTGTAGAGTGCCAGAATGTAATGGAGCAGAGCCCAGAACATTCCGCTGCTTGGTAATCCTGTAAAGAACTCCACCTCCGAGTCATTCTTGAGGTCGACGTTACCATACACAGTTTTTGTTTCTTCTTTGAGAGCTTGATTTTCCATTTGCAGCCTCCTATTTTCTTCCAGAAGAGTGTCAATGTCAGCGCTAGACAAATCTGTTTCGCACGACACACCTGTTATCTCTTCCTCATCCATTGGTGCATCGGGCGCGTCGGGGGCACCGGCCGCGTCAGGCGCGTCGGCCACTTCGGGTCGCATCCGTGACGACGCACGATGATACCGCCGCAGTGCAGCAGGGCTCCGCCGTGATGAAGAAGCCCTATGAGCAAAGATGTGTGGCACCCAGTCTGGGTGATTGGGATCGTCAGATGGTGATCCTAGAGGAAGTTGAAACAAAACGAAACTTATGGCTGCGCTGCTCGCGAAGGCCTGAGGACGTGGCAGCTTTACAAAATAAAGCGGTAATCTTCTCTACAAGTATACATAGCACTCGTACTTACCAGTTGTGAAAGGCTTGCTGCAAATCCTTGTATCGTTATTGGGCACAAACCCAACGCGTTTAACAGCGACGGCCCAAGCTTGGCGGCGTCCCTCGTTCCTCGGAAATCTAAATAATTTAACTTTTGACAGTCTGTTGGTCCCGGCCTGCATTGTGCAGCCAACTGCACAACACTGTGGCATCTTCCCTGTGACCTGATGTTCAGAAGACTAAACTGACTAAACGGTAATATAAAATGCTGAAGCACAGGGAGCTACTCGCAAGAGCTCCCTCCCATAGTTGCCTGTGTCAGGCAATCGACGCACTTACGTCCAGCGGCGTCATTTCGCAGAAATATACAGAAACAAAATTGTGAAGCCGACTGTTAAACTCTGCGGCATCCTCGTAAATGGTAAACACCCAGAAAACGCAAAATATGTGGGCAGAATAACCGAACGAACACAACCTGCTAAACGCGTTGCCATTGCAAAACATGTAAACAAAACCCGAACCGGAAAAGATTTCTGCCCACTGTCATGGCGACCGGAAGTGCCCGGAATGCCATGTATACAAAATGGCGACTTCTACCTCGAGCGGTGTGAAGCTTCCACGTGGTAAGTTTTTAGCATTTCTATCTACTTTTACCGTTTTTGGTATAAGTGTGATTGAGTGTACATAAATCTGATACCCCAAGGAGCTGCCTGAAATATAAGTTGAAGGTGAGGGAATGTTTTGTGACGAAATAATGGTGTTCTCATTTCCGTCTCCACGTTCGTGGACAAAAGTTGGGAGTGGTGTAAAGCTTTTTTTTTTTATCTTGGTTTTCTACAGCGAGGTTCTCACAGACGCAGAAATTGCAGCAATGCTGGACGAAAGCGATGGGGATCTGTTGGATGCAGAGGACCCTGAGTTTTGTATTTCTGCCCAATACGAATCTGGCGTCCACAGTGATACAAGCGATCAAGAAGTTAACGAAAATAAACCCTGGAGAAGGGGAACAAGAGGGACAAAGGACAAACAGAAATCCCCAAACACAGCTAGGTGACTGGTGAGCGAGAAGTCCCGGGTTCGGGTATCGAACCCGGGACTTCTCCACTACCGGTGGAGCGCTCTACCAACTGAGCTAACCAGGGGTTAGACGTCGGTAGAGCAAACCGGTTTTATCAGCTGCCACCAGTCTAACACCAACAAGGGTGAAGCTTGCGATTTAAGGCTGTAAGGGTTTATTTTTGTCATTCTTGTCCAGCTCGCTTGCACCTTCGCATTTAATTGCATTATAATAAGAAGTTAACATGGATGACGAAGATTAACACGAGACACACAGCCCTCCGGAAAAGAAGAGATGTTCCTGGAAGGGAGGCTACGTAAATTCATACTTTTGTTACTATTAATAATATTAGGTATAAATTTGGGACACTATCTTTTCTTTCAGGATTCAAGCAAAGGAAACTCCAGACAATGACGATCGAGCGGAGCCGTTTCACCAAGGTGAATAGGCTCTCTCCTCACCAATATTTCATGAAGTACTTTCCAGCCGACTTTTGGGGAGAATGTGCTGCAAAGACCAACCTGTACTCCGTACAAAAACGCAATCACCGCTCTGTGAAAACCCTCTGAATTACCCCCTAAATTTAGCGGAAAAATTTCCCCGCCAAATTTGGTGGAAAAAATTCTTCATGCTTAATTAAGCGGCAAACTTACCGGCTAAATTTAGTGGAAAACGTTCATCGCTACAATTAGCGGAAACAATTCCCCACAATTTTTAGCGGAAGAATCTCCCCGCTAAATTTAGCAAAACAATAGGGAGTTTTCGTAGACCTCCGCAACGAAGAAGCCGCTACTGCGCCTGCGCGCCGATAGCCGTGACTGTAGAGTTTCGGGTGGCGTAGCGGGTTGCGAAGGGCATTGTGGGACGGCGAAAACGATCTACGAAAACTTCCTCATTTCTCCACTAAATTTAACGGAAAATTTCTTTGCAAAGTTTAGCGGAAATGTTTTCCCACAAAAATTTCTCCGCTAAATTTAGCGGGAAAATTTTACCGCTAAGTTTGTGGAAAACCTTCCCCGCTGTACTTAGCGGAAAAGTATCCCCGCTAAATTAAGCAGAAAAATTTGCCCCTAAATTTTGCAAAAACGTATCCCCCTAAATTTAGCGGAAAAAGTTTCCCGCTAAATTTAGCAGGGAAATTTCCCCTTCTAAATTTAGTGGAAAGATTAATCCTGAATGTATCGGAAAACTTTCCCCGCAAAATTTATCGTAAAAAGTTCTCCGCTAAATTTAGCAAAAAATTTGCCCGCTAAATATAGCCCCAAAAAAATCCTAACTAGCTGAAAAATGCCCCCGAAAAATTTATCGGAAATATTTCTCCGCTAAATTTAGCGAGAAAATTTCCCCCTAAATTTAGGGAATATGTCCCCACTAAATTTAGAAGGAAAATTTCCCCGCTCAATTTAGCGGAATATTTCCCCACTACATTTAGCAGAAAAAGGTTTGTGCTATATTTCCGCGCTAAATTTAGCAGAAAAATTTTCCGCTAAATTTGGCTAAAAGTGTTCCCGCTAAGTTTAGCAGAAAAAACTTCCTCGCTAAGTTTTGCGGGAAAATATCTCCGCGAAATTTAGCGGAAATATTTGCCCGCTAAGTACAGCGGGGAAGGTTGCTATTTCCCTCGGCCGAAGTAATGCCCCAAGTTGATCGCATTCCGAATAAAATTAAATAGCTGGTAAAGTTTCAGTCCACGCGAACCGAATCTGAGGGAGAAAAGGAGGCGAGAGGCGCGAAGGGACGTTAGACCCCCGAGCTCTGGTTGGAATGTTTAGAGGGTAAACGGAAAACCAGCTGACTGTCTTCATTCACTGTTAGAACGCGGTCGAACAGGGAATAGAGACAAAGGCAGCCGGCTTTTCGTCTACCCCCTAATCGTTCCAACCAGAGCTCGGTGTTCTGACGTCCCCTCTCGCCTCCTCCTCTCCCTCAGTTTCTGCCCGTGTAGTCTCTGAGAAGGTGAGAACGGCAGGGAGGAGCTTCACTTGTACCGCCTCCAGCGCGAGCTTCCTGCCTTCGACAACGCTTCGACATCTCGTCCATCCCGAGCGCACGCGCGCAGCCAAAGCACGGCGGAAGGCATGGAGAACTTGCTAGAGGCAGGGCGTTGGAAAGAAACGCCCTGCCGTTCTCGCTCTATCAGATACTATAATGCCCCAACTCAATCCAAGGTAGGCGCACTACTTCTCAAACATCCGCGGTATGCTTTCAGTAAATGTTGTAAAGATATCTGTTCACGGCTACAAATAGTTGCTATTTGTAGCCGTGGACAGATCTCCTTAAAGCATTTATTGAAATCCGCTTCAAGAGTTAATAATCTTGAATTCATGAAAAATACGAACTCTTAAACTGACTTCAATAAAAATAAATGTTTCATTGTTGTAAAGTATTATTAATGCAATAGCATTAGTAGCCACATGACAGGGAAAAGCTGACGGCGTCCCTCTGTGGACCCAACAGTAGAAAGGCAATCGCGCCGTATAGAGAGGAGGAGGAGAACTGTGAAGGACAAAGGCGAGAGAGAGAGACGACGTCATGGGGCAGAAGGCAATGCGCGCGCGGATGCTGGGCCGAGTCTGAACTTGCAGGTGTGCGGGTTGGTTTGTGCCACCAAATGGAGTCTGAATCAAGTACTAGCACTGGTCCAAGTAGGCGGCAAAAAATTAAAGGAAGATCCATTGGTGAATCATTAGGGAATGCGTTAGCACGACCGTTGGGAAATGCCATACACGTCCGTCCCTTTTCGGGAAACGTTAACACTGACCCCGTAACGAAGCCAAAAAAAGGAGAAAAGAAAGCCAAACAGAAAGGTGAAGGGGCCATCGATAGCGTTTTCCAAGGGACATGCTAACGCATTTCCTCAGGATCCATCAATGGATCTTTCTTTATTCTTGTAGTTAGCTTCATTCCGTCCACCAGCGTGGCCTTTTGCAAACGTACTCGTTTGTGGGTCTCCTGCTGAAAGGTTCGAATTCGATCGTTAACACCCGAATGTGGTGTAGACATCGTCCACCACGTGCTCCAGTAGCAGGTTTGTTATACTTCTACGTTCAGCTGGAAACCTTCAGAATCAGCTTCAGAATCGTAAACCACGTCATTATAATGGTTCCGAAATGTATTTAAACACCACCTTGTGGCATTGACAAAGATTTATGCCCATAACCTGTACCGTCGCAATCACGCCGCATTGAATATTCGTAATCTAGAGCCAAACTTCATCTTCGGCATGACTACTTCCTAGCCATAAATATTAGAATGTAATTAACGTCCTGTTGCATTTTTTATGTAAAATTGTAGCTAGAGTATTACGAAAGAAATAATTGCACTTAATAAACACACTAAATAGGGTGTCCCAAGTTATGTTTTTGACGTTCGGGCTGCACTCCATTCTTGCAGATATACTACTTATGCGTTCTTTTTGTAAAAGAAATATGATACTAACAAAAGTCTTATTTCTGCTGATAACACTAGAGTAATCGGATCATGAGATAAAGGGTGTGGGGTCTTGTCAGCTTGGGGCCCGTCTTGAAGACGTTGGCGGCGTTGGCGGTGGACATCCAGGACCCCCCCTCCCGGACAGCGTCGGCGCCCGAGGCCCTGCACGTGCTACGGCAGAGCCAGACGGGGAGCTCCAGCGAGAGACCGCCCAAGATGGAAAAGAGGCTCCGGCCGGGTCTGGTACGGGATGACGGCGAGAACAGCGGGGGAAGCTGGGACGATGGGAGATTGGCAAAG